ATTCTTTATTTAAATAAGTTCTCTGCTCCCTTCTCTCTCTCTTCTCCTTCTGGTATACCCATTATCTTTGTGTTGTCTTTTCTAATGGAGTTGGATAATTCTCATAGAATTTTTACATTTTTTAAAAATCTTAGTTTTTTCTCCTCTTCTACTTGCAAAATTTCTAGTTTTCTATCTTCAAGCTCACTGTTTCTCTCTTCCATATGGTCTGCTCTATTTCCAGTGCTTTCTAATGCATTCCTCATCTCATTGACTTCTTCAGCTCCAGAATTTCTGTTTGGTTCCTTTTTAGAGTTTCAATCTCTTTGGCAAAGTACTCCTTCTGTTCATTGATTTTATTCCTGAGCCCACTGAACTGTCTTTCTGAGTTTTCTTGTAGCTCACTGAGTTTCTTCATGACAGCTCTTTTGAATTCTTTATCAGTTAGGTCACAATCTTCCATGACTTTATGTTTGGTTTCTGGAGAATTGTTATTTTCTTTTTGTGATGCTGTGTTACCATAATTTTTTGTGGTGCTTGCTGAGTTCTTCCTCTGCTGATCCCTTGTCATAGTGAACACTTTTCTTATTTAGGTATAGCTTTGTTTGTTTTGATTCTAACTATTTAACTGATTGGAGATTAGAGGCCTTTCTTTTGTTTTTCAGTAGGTGATGGAGATTAGAGGCCTTTCTTTGTTTTTCAGTAGGTGACACTATAGCACTAGTTTTTGGTTTCTCTTCCCTTAACTGCCTCAGGCTATATTTGAGGATCAGCACATTCCACCCTCCACCCCACCCTCCACTGCTTCTATTAGGGGTGTCGGGGGTACTCTCATCACTGATGCCTTGCTGTTGCTGGTGTTGCTGTGGTCGCTGGCTCCGCTCCTGGGGGTACAGTGATGGCTGATGCTCCTCCACCTCTGTCCAGAATCACCTGGGTCGGAAGCTCCACTGCGGTGGTGGGGGTGGGGGGGAGAAGTGGGGGAGGGAGCTGGGTTCACAGGCACCGCCTCTGCTGTTGTTTGTTTCCTTGTGGCCGTATGTGCCACTGTGATGGGAAGGTTGGAGTTGTACTTGTGCCTCCACTGCTGCCCACCAGGTTCGCTGGGGCTGGGGGTGGCTGCCTCAGCCACTGCCGCTGGGGGTCCAGGATCCTGGGTGCTGCCTCTGCTCTTCCTCCAGTTCACCTCCTCTTTGTACTGCAATCCACCCACCTTTATATGTACTGATGTGTCGCTCTCTCCAGCATCCTGGTGTGTTGGGCAATGTGGCCTTTATTGGGTTATGGATATTTTAGTCACTGTAGATTGAAGGAGAGAGACAAAGGGAACCTCCCATGCTGCCATGATGATGACACTTCTATGGCTATTTGGGATATAGGTCCTTCCTTCCCTTATCAGGCCCAGCACGTCCTCAGCTGGGTTATTTTGGGACTTAACCCTAGTCATAGGCCTAGTGGGCAGGAGTGAAGGTGGGCACCGGTCTTATGGAAGAGAGGCCTCTGCAGGGTCTCCATGCAAGGTGGGAGGTGGTAACTTTTAACAAGGTGGATGGGTGGGCTATTTCTGCAGCTCTGAAGGTTCAGAGGAATCTGGGGATTCAAGAATTCCAGGGGCTTCAACCCTTACATGCCCAGTCTGTGTCAGGGTCCCATTCTTCCCCAAGCAGGGTCTGACCTTGTTTAGCAGACCTGATTATTTTGAGAGTATATAACTTTCTTTTACATCCACTAGGATGGCTATAATCAAAATGACGGACAATAAAAAGTGTTGGTGAGTGGAGAAACTGGGACCCCGTTCATTGCTGGTGGGGGTGTAAACGGTGCAGCTGCTATGGAAAACAGTAAGGTGGTTCCTCAAACGGTTAAACATAGAGTTACCATATGACCCGGAAATTCCATTCCTAGGTGTACATACCCAAGATAAATGAAAATATATGTCCACATAAAATCTTGTACACAAATGTTCATAGCAGCATTATTCCTAGTGGCCAAAAAGTGGAAGCAATCCAAATGCTTATCAACGGATGAATGGATAAACAAAATGTGGCATATCCATACAATGGAATATTATTCGGTAACAAAAAGGAAAGAAGCACTGACATATGCTGTAACACGGATGAACCTTGAAAACATTGTGCTAAGTGATAGGATCCAGACACAAAAGGTCACATCTTGTAGGATTCCATGTACATGAAACATCTGTAATGGAGACAGAAAGCAGATTTTTTTTTTTTTTTTTTGTGAGGAGATCAGCCCTGTGCTAACATCTGCCAATCCTCCTCTTTTTTTGCTGAGGAAGACTGGCCCTGGGCTAACATCTGTGCCCATCTTCCTCTACTTTATATGGGATGCCCCCATAGCATGGCTTGCCAAGCAGTGCCTCGGTGCGTGCCCGGGATCTGAACCGGCAAACCCCGGGCCATTGCAGCGGAGCGCGTGCGCTTAACCGCTTGAGCCACCGGGCCGGCCCCCGGAAAGCAGATTGATGGCTGCCAGGGACTAGGCGGGGAAGGGGTTGGAGGGAATGGGGAGTGACTGCTAATGGGTTTCAGGTGTCTTTTGGGGGTGATGAAAATGTTCTGGAATTAGTATGATGAGTGCACCTTGTGATATGGCTCACCTCGTGAATATACCAAATATAAACCTTGTGAATGTGCTAAAACCACTGAATTGTACACTTTAAAAGGGGAAATTTATGGTACGTGAATTTTATCTCAATAAAAAATGTTTAAAATTAGAAATTAAATTAAATTGAAAATTAAAAAAAAACCCCAACACTTTCTTTGGGGCCCTGCATCCCTTGCAATTCACTTCTGGGCTAGGTCCTCATTTTCCTTTGCCTTCTGGCTGCAGGAGATGGGAAGAGCCTCTTCATATGCAACCAAGGAGGCCCCTCAGGCTCTCACACTGAGCTTTCAATTGCTGATGGATCACATTTATCTTTTTGTTATTTTTTCCCCCAGCGTCGTGGCAGTAGCCACCCAAATCCACTGGCCTGTTTATCTACAGGCCACTGCCATGCTGTTTAAATACTAGAGGCTGCACAGTATGTTTTAATATTGGGCTAGTCCCTCCTCAAAGCTCTTTTCTCTGCATTTTCCTAGTTTTTCTTGCACGTGTATTTTTCCATAAGACCGTTAGTAGCAACTTGTCTAGTTTCAGAGAAAAGTGCATGTGGGTACTTTATGGGTGATCATTGAATGTATAAGTCAACTTAGGGAGAACTGGCATCTATCTAAGGGTGTGGCTGCATCAGGAAGCCCCCAAAAGTTACAGTGGGGCCACGATGTCAATACCAGGTGGCCACTGACAAAGACCCAGGGGCTCGAATAAAATACGCCCCTGCTTGGATCAGCAGGACTTCCTCTCCACTGGGCCCACATGACAGCCACCCCTCACCTCCCACACACCCATGCTGCCCCGTTTCCCACCAGCTCACAGTTATCCTAGTTCTAGAGCCATTTCGAGAGGGAGATCTAGAGTCCATGTGGTGGGGATGGGAGTTACCAAATTGGGACCCACCACCGACTCCACCCAGGATGAGAACTAATGGCTCTCAATGCCCAGGCCAGGTCCGCATCTGCTGCTGGACACCTGGCAGGGCAGGTCTCTGCTGCCCGCAAGAGCTCTAGGAACTGTGTGTTGCAGCAGCCAGGGCCAACCCAGAAGGTGTAACTTGGGGTCCTGAGAGCTCCAGACTTGGATTCCCAGCCAGCCATCGAGGTGAGTCCAAGAAGACTTTATTAACACCCATTCAGCAGCAAGAACACCACAAGATGGAGGCACCAACACGGCACAGGTAGTGGGAGGCTCTGCCTCAGCCTCACCCGCTCTAGTCCCTGCGGGCTGAGCCGAAGAAGGCAGGGGACTGAAGCAGAGGCACAGCTCTCCATCGCTCTCTCTCCAAGAATGATGATGGCGACGGGGAAGCTCCTCCTCCCCGGTCCCCTGTCCTGCATCCCTGCAATGCAAGGAACGTCTGTGTCCCCCCGAACCCCCATGTTGAAATCCTAATCCCAAGGTGATGCTGTTAGGAGGAGGGGCCTTTGGGAGGTGATTAGGTCAGGAGTGTGGAGCCCCCATGAACGGGATTAGTGCCCTTATAGAAGAGGCCAGAGGGCTGGCTACTTCTCTTTCCCCCATGGAGAATACAACAAGAAGTCTGCACCTCAGAAGAGGGCCCTCACCAGAACCCGGCCATGCTGGCACCCTCATCTCAGACTTCCAGCCTCCAGAACTCTAAGAAATACATTTCTGTGGTTTATAAGCCACCCAAACTGTGGTACTTTGTTATAGCAGCCTGAATGGACTAAGATAGCACCTGACAGGCAGTGCCCAGCAGTGGTCCACAGAGAGTCAGACTGTCTAAGACACTCAGGGGGCAGAGAGGGGATGAGTAGTGGCTCTTTCCCTGTCCCCTGGTCCACTCCTCTGGGATGGGCCACTCCATCACCCACCCAACAGACGTTCACGGTGCATCTGCTGGGGACACTGTCCCGGATGCTGCCCCCCAGGCACTGGGCATCCATTCCTCCCTGTGCTACACGGCGTGGGAGACGAAACATTCACCTCTCAGACTCCCCAGCAGTCAGAATCCCAGCTGTACTTTAGATTGTGCTAAAGGACGGAGGCAGAAGCCATCTCCGCGCAGCGCTGGCAGCTGGCAAGTCCTGAGAGATGTTCGTGGCTGCCGGAGGCCACGTTCGAGGGTCTGGACCCAGCTTTGTGGGTGTGAGGCAGAGAGGGCGGCTGCAGTGGTGTGGGCAGAAGCAGCAGCAGCTCCTGTCCTCTGAGTTAGCCACGGCGGTCTAATCTTGAAACCAACAGTCCAGAGGTGGCCCCTGCCTTCTGCTCCTCCAGCCCATCCAGGGATTTAGATGTAGTCCCTTTCTGCTCATGATTCCTGGAGTGCTTTCTGTTTTCCGTGCTCAGCCTTGACTAAGAGGGACCCTGTTGTTGGACTGAAGGTCAGGAGTGCCACCTGCAAGCACCTGGTGGGTTTGTTCTGGAGGCCCAGAAATAGGCTGAGCACTGTTGTTCGGGCACTGGCTCACATTTAGGCTCTGTGGATGGAGGATGCCATGGGCGGAGGATTCCAGTGGGTCAGGAAAGAAGACAGGAACCCAGTAAAAACTCAGGAATACAAACAAGGCACGGCATCAAGACGTGCAAACTGGGAGAATGAGTGAAACAGGCAGGGTGGAGAAGAGGAGGCCTCCAATGAGAAGGCATCCAATTAGGTGTCCAATGAGAGGGACTTCATGGCAGGCATGCCCCCACTCCCTCTGTGTCTGTGGCAGACAAAGCTAGCTGATCTGTGCCTGCTCTCCTGCTACTGGCTGAGCTCAGAGAGCTCCTCAGTAGCCCAGAAATATACTGTAGGCCTGCGAGCACCTTCTTCCTGCATCCAGGCCAGACACTGCTAATCAATCGTAGCACTCATGTCACCACTTTCCTATACTGCATCCATGGCAGACATCACCAATCGATTAGGTCACTCTTCCCAGCTACGTATCCATTCTTCAGAATCCTTCAGAGCACAGGGCTCCAGGCAGCCACTACCAACTGACTGTGGCTGATGAATGAGATGAAAACTCTGCCATCCCTGTGGAAAGTTCTTGGACTGGGGAAGAGGGCGAGGCCACTGGGAGGTCAGGGAGGGTTTCAGCAGGAGGAAGGATGTGAGCAGTGTGGACAGGCAGAGAGGAGTCAGGGAGGAGGACCGTCTCGGCAGGGGTGGGATGCAGTGTGGGATGCAGCAGTAGCTGTCTGAGAAGAGAAGCCATGAGGATGATGGAGAAGCTGAAAACCCAGGCTGGGGCCGACCCATGGAGTCTGGACGCCAGTGTGCAGGCCATGGGGGCAGAGGCGTGTGTGAGCCGGGACGTGCCCATCTGATATGAGGTGGTAGTCAGTGAAGCTCAGTTGGGCTGGGAAAGCAGAAGGGGCTGCCTGGAGGAGGGGGCAGGGTTGGGAGGCAGGGATATCAGTCGGGACGCTGGACCAGGGAGGAGACAGATACACTGAATCAATCGCTCTCTCTCTCTCGCTCACACACACACGCACACATCTGGCAGGTGACCCTGAGTCTCCCCATGCCAAGGGCTGGTGTCCATCTGTCCATCCAGTATGACCACTGATTTTCTGGGCTTCACACGGCAGCCTGGGGGAGGGTTATAGAAGATACTGGTTACCCCTAACCTTCCTGGAGAAGCTGACCACATGGACAGACAGGACGTGGAGGCACGGGGCACACCTGGGGCCACGACTGGGCCCTGCCCCTTTGGGAGGACTCACACCCCTCTCCTGATCACACTGCCCCCAACAAAGGGTGCCCCCCCCACACCAGATCTCTCACCTTCACTGGCCACGGCCGGATGGGGGTGCCATCCCTGCCCGTGCAGCACACGGCAGACATGCAGGCAGCAGCTTCCTTGGCCAGCAGGTCCCAGCGGGCATTGTGGCCCAGGTTGCCTGTCGGGTCAGCTGGATCCAGGATGATGGGCCTGCAATTCCCATCCAGGGTCAGTCTTATTCCTGGAAACTTCTAGGTGTTCACCTGTGGGACTGGTTGGACTATTCTCCTCCCTTACCCAACACTCTGCAGGAGACAGGGGCAGGGCTCAGAGACTCCTCTGTGCTCCAGGCACCCACTCCAGGGCAGGAAGAGAAAATAAGCTACGCATGGACCACTTCTCCCTGCTGCGTCCAGGGCAGACATTACCAATCAACCACAGTGCTCAGGCCACGCTTACCCCTTCTGCACATAAAGCAGGCACTGTTAATCAATCACAGCACTGGTTCCACCACTCTCCCTTCCTGCATCCGTGGTAGGCGTCACTAACTGAGTAGGCTACTCTTTTCAGCTGAGCCAAATCGCAACCTCAGAGTCTTCTTCAACACATCACTCTAAGGAGCCATCGTCCACTGCCTGGAGATGCATCATGAACTTGTGAAAACACCTCTGCTGTCTCTGGACCATTTCAGAGGTAGCAAAACCCCCAAGAACGAGACATGCGTACGTTACCTGGTGGGTTCCCAGATAGGGTTGCCAGATTCCACAAACACAATTAGAGGATGCCCAGTTAAATTTGAGTTTTGGGTAAATGAGTAAGTTAGTTTTTTTTGTTTGTTTGTTTTTGTTTTTAGCATAAGTATGTCCCAAATACTGCACGGGACACATTTATACTAAAAAGTTATTCGCTGTTTATCTGACATTCAGATTTAACTTGGATCTTGCATTTCCCATTTACTGGTGACCAGGAAGCTGCCTGCCTGTCCCTCACATGCTAAGTGTCACTGTTAGAAAGGCGCTCAGTTCCTGAAAGAGGACTTTCCTGTCTCCGCTCTGTGCCCTCGGGAGGCGGGGAGGGAGTGAGTGACCCCAGATCTGGGACAGCGAGGGGGGGCCTGAACCTGGGCTTCCGAAGCTGCAGTTCCAGAAAGTCCCTGATGGTCTTGTTCTCACTGCCGTAGTTGACGGTCCAGTAGACACAGAGCTGGGGGTACTGGGTGACCAGCTCCAGAACGGTGCGGAAGCCCTCGGCCATGCTGAACTGAGGGCCCTGCCTGCCCTGCTCCCAGGCGTAGACCGTGAGGAGTTCCAGCCCGTGCTGGGGGGGCAGGGAGCCCTTCCCTGTGGGCATCTTGTTGCACTGGGGAACGAGGAGAAAGGAGATGTGTTGGTCCCTACTGGCAGTGAAGAGGAATGGGAGGGACCCTTCCAGAGTGGGCAGACCCACCCCAAACTTTTATTGAGCACCTACCTATGCCGGATGCGTCACAGTGCATTAGCCCATCAAATCCTGCGACATGGTTCTGCCAGCCCCATTTCTCAGATAAGAAAACTAAGGCCCCACAGCTAGGAAATAGCCCTCTTCCTGCTCCCCTAGCCCAGGGTTCTGGCCGGGGTGGGGCCCTGCCTCCTCCCAGGAGAGTGCTCCAGAGGGAGCGCCCAGGGCCGCCGGGGGGCGGCCGCGTCCCTGTGCCGAACCTGCCGGTACCAGTGCTTCACCAGCCGGATCAGGCTCTTGAGCTTGGTGGGTCGCGAGATGATGAAGTCACGCTGCAGCTCCGTGAAGCAGGGGGAGTACTCGCCCGCGTTGCTGTAGCTGTGGATGAGGTCCACGTAGACCTGAGAGCCGGGCCTGGAGCCGGCGCCCAGCTGGCCTGCGCACAGGGAGAAGGAAACCATCACTTCACTTCCCAGAGTCGCGGCGGGGCCGACTCAGAAAGGACTTCTCGAGATCTCCTGCTTGGCATCTCCCTAGGGGTGGACCGGGACCCGAAGCTAGGCCACAGGGTGTTTTTGGGTGGAACACAGACGGGTCGTGGCCCGCATTACACCCCTGGTGAGGATCTGATTCCCTTTTCTGCCTGCTTTCAAGCCACCTGTTTACCCAGCATGGAGCAAGTCTCGCCTGGGACCTAATCTGTCTTTAATGCTCTCTGCACCTGCTCATGTCTCTCTAAGAAAGGGAGAGTCTCCCCCTTACAGCCTCCTGCAGCTCACACAACTGGATGTGGTCAGAGCCGATGCCACTGTTCTGGTTCCCTGGCACTTAAAGTCACCCCTGATCCCCAGCTCTCGCTGCTGAACTGCACACTGAATAGATTCAGATACATTTCTGGATGAATCTCTCCCTTGCTACTTGTTTTCCAAACCTCAGGAACCAGATACATTCAGATACAGTGGATTTCCTCTGCTGCAGACTCTCCTATCCAAACTCAGAGCTGAACAGATACAGACAGACTTGCATCTGTTTCATTCAGGGATTTGTCCTCCATCCCCGGAAGGGTCCGGGCACAGAGTAGGTGCATTTATTGAGTGGACTGATCAAGTGGGTCTGTGGCGGGGAGGGAAGTGGTACACAAATACTCAAAGCTGGGGATGCTCTGAGACACTTCAGTGTCCTCACTGTCAGATGAAAACACGGACTCAAGGTCGAGCAGTCCATTGTTCAAGATCATCCAGCACGTTGGTGGAATTGCTGGGACCAGAACCCAGCTCAGGGCCACTGTCAGCCCATTTAGCTCCTTTGTGTGAATTAGGAAGATGTACCCTTTGCAGGACAGATGTGATAAACATCCACATCTGCAATGCCTACGATGAGAACAGGTGGGTCTTGTTGTGCAGTGCACAAGCTCTACAACTGGCCATGGCAGCCCTGCCTCTGCTTTTCCCCTTCTCAGGACCATGCCTGGGCACCTCACCTAGGGCGTCAAAGGCTGGCAGCACGTCAAAGTCCACACTCTGATCCAGCATCGTCTGGGATGTCAGGGTGAAGCTCAAGACGCGGGGATTCTCCCACTTGGAGATCTCAAACTTCACTTCAAACTGCCGCTCCTGCTGACAAGCCTCCAGCTGGGCTCGGATCTCTGAGATGATCTCGGCCCGCCTGTTCCCTTGTTCGGCGAACTGGCGGAAGCAGTTGAGGAACACCACCAGATCGGCGTCTGAGCGGCCTCGCAGAGCTGTGCCTTTGGCTGAAGAGCCGCCCTGGGGAGGACACGGCAGGTGGCTTGACCCCGAAGTACTGCTTGCCGTCCTCCTGCCAGAGCCTCTGGGCTCTGCACTCTGAGTCAGGAACCCGCTGTGTGACCTTGGGCAAGTCACCTAACCTCTCTGTCCTACATCTTTAACATGGGTTAATACGTGGCATAGTTGTGAGAAAAAGAAGTGTGCAAGACACAAGTTCAAACCCTTCAGCAAACGCAAAATTTCTCATTCCATCATGTTTGGGGGCTGGGAGGGATTTGAGAGATTTTTTTCAGGACTGCGGTTCCCAAGCTTGTCTGACCGATGCCTGGCTCCTACGCCCCTGAGACCGATTTAATCTGCCTGGGAGGGGACCGGGCCGTCAGTATATTTTTTAAAAGCCTCCCTGTGATTCTGTGGGAAGCCACAGTTGAGCACAGTGAGTCAGGCTACCGGCCTCAAGTGTTATGGATGAGGAAGGCAAGGATCAGAGGGGAGGGTATTTGCCTGGGGTCACACAGCAAATCAGCAGGCCTGGGACTCTTCATTGGCTGACTCTATGCTGATGCTGGTTCCAGAGCTGACCCGGGTCTCACTGTGACTCCAGCTGTGAGCTGAGGTTTTATCTGGTGCAGTGGATAATGTGAATTTTTGTACACCCCCGGCCTCCTTTCCACCTTCTGGGGTCAGCATCCTGGTTTTCTTGGGGGACTCACTCTTCCCCCACACTCAGCCCATGATGTCCACGTGTGGCTGAATCCACCATGAGACCCAGGCTTGGCCAGTCAGAGCATGATGTCTCGCTAGCCCCATCATGCTCTGGGGATGTTCGGGGATGGATAGCCAGGCCAATGACACTCAATTCCAAGACTTTTCTTTGAATTTCGAGAAAAGAGAATTTCCCTTTCTGGAACCTTAGAGATGCCAAAGACCATCATGTGGACAGGGCCTGTCCAAAGGCAGAAGAAGACAGAGCCAAGAGTAGGAAGGAAAGCTGAGCCCTGATGACTCTGCATGGGCTCCTGGATCTAGCTGTGCCTGAAGCTAGATCTACTCAAGGGCTTTTCATTTACATCAGCCAATACATACTTTTTGTTGCTTCTTTTGAGTTGGCTGTCATGAGCAATCAAAAGAAACTTGCTGGACGCATCTGAGCCCACCCTCTGCCATCTACCCATGACCACGTCCAGCTTTCTGCTCTATGCTTGGCTTTGCGCTGGTTGCCACAATGGCCACAGAAATGGGTCAGGTCCGGGCTGGGCCTGGGAGACATCACCAGCCTGCAGGCCCCTCTCTGCCCACAGCTCTCTGGGGACTCACCTTGACCACCTTGAGCACTTTGATGGGAGAATCCCGGAAGCAGTTTTCCCTCAGGAACGAGCAGATGGTATCAACAGCCTTCTTCACCTGAGCCAGGAAGTCGCAGTCGGGCTGGAGAAACTCGCTGATGAACTTGTCCAGGTCCTCGGCTGGGGTTTGGTGAAGGAGAGCGGGCTGCAGAGAGAAGCCAGGCAGGGCCAGCTCGAGACAGCATTCCCTATGAACGCCGGGCCCTGCCCTTTGATATCCTGTGAGGACAAGGCTCCCACTACCCCCTCTTTTCTTCTTCTCAACTGCTTGGCAGGTCCCAGCGTCACAGGGACCAGAGTTCAAGTTCTCCTTCCATCCCCACCACACAGCCTCAGTTTCCCCAATGTTCAATGGGGGCACTAAGGAGGCCCATGCCTCACTGGATTGTCTTGAGTGTTAAGCACTGGTTACGAGATCCTGCTGCCAAATAGCAAATGCGATAGCGCCATAGCCCTTTGGGAGCCACAAATGGCTATCGTCTTAAGCAGGGTGCCCCAGGAGGAGAGCCGTGACGGGGGTTCTCGTGCACGGGATTAAGCGGGAGAGCGCTTGCAGGAGAAGGGAGTGAGGGAAGCAGCACAGGGCGGAGGAAGGAGCTAAGCAGGCTCAGCTGCAGAGAGCTTTCTCCTGATCCCACAGGGGGCTCTGGAGCATGAGCTGCATCATGGAATTGGTCCTGCCTTGAAACAAGGGTGGGCCTTTTGTACCCGTGTCACTCAAGCCCTGGCCAGGACGGAACCATCTGTGCCTCAGCTGTAAGCTGTCAGCAGCCAACACTCCTAATGTCTGGGGATGTGCACACCGGCCGGGAAAGGGGATCTGGGAGGGAGCGCCACCAGCATCCGCCACCCCGGGGACCCCCCCTCTTACCATCACATCCCAGGGCTGCACCAGCGTCCCTTCTCTGCTCGTAAAGCAGGCCTGCGTCGCCAGCACTGCCGCTTCCTGGGCCAGCAGCTCCCAGCTGCCCTGGCCCACATTCCAGGTGGGGTCGGCAGGGTCCAGGATCAGGGGCCTGGGGGCAGAGTGGATGGGCAGGCAGGTGGGGAAGGTGGGAATCAGTGAAGGAGCAGGGGGGTGGGAGAGACTGGGAAGGAGTGAGGGCTGGGGAGATGGAGAAGACTGTCAGGACCTTAGGTTGGCCCAATTTTGCCCAAGAGCTGTAGGATCCCTGCCTGGCCGCCTCTGTCAGGAAGCTATTGGGTGGCCCCTTAATTTGAGAAATGGTGTTTTATTGTGTTAATAAAACTGGCCCTGGTTTTCTTTGGGGCTCCTTGTGTCCAGGCTTCCTCAGCAGAGTGCAGAAGGAAGCGGAGTGAGGAGCAGGGTTGGGGCACCCAAACCCCACCCTGGACCCCTCCTGGGTCCCATGACTCCAGGTGACGGGGGGGAGGAGAGGGATGATGCAGGGCAGGCAGTGGGGAAGCAAGTGTGCACCTGGGGTTCCGAAGCTGGCCGTGAAGGTGTTTTCTGAGAGCTGGGTCCTCAAAGCTGTAGTTGACCGTCCAGTAGACAAGAAGATGCTGGTGCTGCTGCACGAGCCCCAGGACGGTCCTCAGGCCTCGGGCAGTGTTGAAACGGTCCTTCCCGCAGCCCTGCTCCCAGGCAAAGATGGTCAGGAGCTCCAGGGCGTAGGCTGGGGGCAGAGAGGCACAGGCTGGCCGCCCTCCTTTCTTACGAGCTGCAACCTATGTCACCCAAAGCCAATCAAAGAGTCACTGAGTGTGAGCACCTACTGTGTGCTAAGATGGCCCTACGCACTTGGAGGAGGAGAGGGATATAAAAAACAAAACCACAGAAAGAACAGAAACTTGGAGGTGGTCTGACTCAGGCTTCTCATTTTATAGGTGGATAAACTGAGGTCCAGAGGTGGGTAGTGACTTGTCCAAGGTCACATGGTGAGACTAAGAGGCTCAGACTTGGTCTTTGCCTAGAGTCTTTCCTCAAAGGGTGTCTGGGGTGGTTGTATAGGAATGGGGGCTGCGATGTATTCGTCTTGGTATCCCGACATCCATCACAACAGTTAGCAATGATGGGTGGTCGGTAGACGTTTGCTGAATAAAGGCAGGCGAGCCGGCACTCAGAGGCGTGTTTAGTGAGGGAGCTCTGAAGGGTGCTGAGGATTTAGCACAACTTGCAAAGAAGATGGTGATGGGGGAACAGCACGAGCAGAGGCTTGGAGGTGAGAAAGCACAGGGAAATAATTAGCAGCGTGAGGAGAGAGGAGAAACAGAGGAGCGAGAGACAAACGGTGAATCAAGAAACGAGGACTTGTGGACTCAGTGGAGAAAAGATTCTCTTTCAGCCAAGGGCTTCCAGGTCTGGGCAGGAAACGGATGTAGGATGGAGGAGGTGGTCCTTCCAGTTGGATGGCCAATAAGAAGTGAAGCAGGGGAGATGTCTGTGTAGGGGACAAGCTGATTGGCTGAGGCAGTTGCCATGACAGCAACTGCATCCTGGGAGGAGAGAGTGGTACGGACACCTCACCTGGCGGTACCAGTGCTTCACCAGCAGGATGAGGTTCTTCAGCTTGGCCGGGCGAGTGTTCACGAAGTTCCTCCGCAGCTCTGCGAAGCAGGCCGCGTGCTCGCCCCCCTGACAGCCGCTGTCGAGGAGGGTCGAGTAGACGCGGGGCTCGGGTTTGGCGCCAGAGCTGAGCTGCCCTGTGGATGTTCGAAGCACTCTGAGTGCACAGTTCTGATTGAAGACAGCAGCATTCCCAACCCAGCCACTCACCAGCCTTTATTAATACTTCAACATCAATTATAAAACATTGCCGTCAATCATACACAATCTATAAGAGAATAACAAGCAGGACTATTATTTTTTTTTAGCACCAACTATGCGCTGTATGCTTTTAAATAATTTTCACTAATCCACTGAGTAACTCTGCAAGGTGGATAATCTTGACTCTGACAAGCTGTGTGGCAAAGCGGTTAAGGGAATGAGCTTTGGAGACAGATGGGCCTGGGTTCCAATCCTAGCTGTGTGACCTTGCCTCTTTTGGTCTCAGTTTCCTCATCTGTAAAAGGGGGATAATAGCATTCCCCTCGTATGGCTCTTGTAAGAATGAAGTGAAATCCACATGTAAGGTGCTTAGAATATGCCATGTGCTCAATAAACATAAACGGTAGCTATGATTAACGTTATTATCTCCCAGAAGAGAAAATCAAGGTGTGGAGAGGAGCTGGAATTGAGTCCCCTCCCTCTCTGTCCCAGTCCGCCTACGGAGAAGGCGCTCTGGAATAGATGCCTTCTCCGTAAAAGCTGACTAAAAAAGGTCACCCACTAACAGAGAGGCTTCAAGAGAGCTTGCTGTAGGGCTCTGGGTGGGAGGAGAAAGAAACTGAGGTCCAATCCTATGCTAGAAGTCCAAATTTACAGTATCTGTATGATGATGAAGTCCCAGGCTGTTAATGTAAAACTGGCCTGAGAAGGAGTGAAACTCTCGAAGCCGAGCTAGAAGGAAAGTCAAAATTTGGTTCCCTAAAGGATGTTTCTCCAACCCAGGGCAGAAGGAATGTCCATGGGAGGAGAGAAGGTAAGAGAAGGAGAGAAGATAAAAGTTCCACATATTCCAAAGACGAGCTCACAATAAAAAATTACAGACCACGCGAGGAAATGATCCACCACGAGGGAGAGTCAGGCAACACAACAACTAGGAGAATTAGCACTTCAAGAATTCGAGAAAAGAGGACAATCTGAGAGACTAAAATAATGAAAGAAATGAAAGGAACTGAAGCCACAATGAAGGAACAGAAGCCTATGAACAAATGACAGGTTGATTTAAGAAATAGCTGAATAGAACTTTTAGAAGTGAAAAATAAAGTCACTGAAATTTATAAAAAATTAAGGCTTGGTAGCAGATTAGACGCATTTGAAGAGAGTTAGTAAATTGGAAGACAGATTTGAACAACGGTGCAGCAGGCAGCCCTGAGAGAGATAGAGATGGGCAAAGTGAGAGAGTTGGAAAGACACGGAGAATGAAAGGAGACACCATTTAATAGTCATTCCAGAAGCAGAGATTAGAGCAAATAGGGCAGAGGCAGTATTCCAAGAGAGATTGGAAGACATTTTCCCAAAACTAAATGAAGAATTGAGTTCTCAGGTTCAAAAAGCACAACAAATTCCAAACAGTATAAATAAAAAGAAATCCACACGCAGACGTATCAGATACTGAAGACTACTATGAACCAAGAGAAAGTCTTAATAGCTACTGCAAAGGAAAACAAAACAAAACGAACACACACGCACACACACACAAACACACACACAGATCATCTATAAAGACACAATTCTCCAAGGCACAGGCTGGGCACCTCACCCACGGCATCAAAGGCGGGCAGCAGGCTAACATCCATCCAGCTTTCCAGGGCCGTGGACGCCAGTTGGAACCGCAAGGTCTCAGGCACGCTCTGCTCAGGAAACTTGAGGCTCAGGCCCGGGACCGGGTCCTGCCACCAGGATTCCAGCTGTGCCCGTATCTCATCAAGGATCTGCGCACGGCGGGCCCCCTGGTCCCTGTAGTCCTTGAAGCAGTTGAGGAAGATGACCAGTTCGGCATCGCAGCCGCCCCTTAGGTCTGTGCCCCGGCCGAACGAGCCCCCCTGCAGGGGAAAGGACATCTCAGAGCCATGACCCTCTGGGAGCCCAGGAGTCAGGCTCTGACCCCACCAGCTGCATCCTCTCTGCAGCCCTGAAACTGCTCTCTCGTGGATGTTGGGTCCAGGGCCACCACAGCAGAGCCCTGTGACCTCTGACTCTTAGAAGCCTGGCAGTGAGTCAGACCGTGCCTGCCTGCACAGCCTTCTGACCCGGGAAGGCCGCACACAGTCAGACCAACACGCAGCAGCAGATAACGTGGGGGGGTGATGGGAGCCGTGACCAAAGACGGCAGGCACACAACTGCAGCACCTACCACCGCACATCTGGACCACAGGTTGCACGTGGAGGTCCCAGGGCCACAGGAGGCCAGCAGGTATGTTCTGTTGGCCTGTGTCAATCAATTCATTCATTCATTCATTCACTCATTCATTCAACAGATGTTTATTGAGCATTTACATGTACCAGGATATGCGAGTGGATGAAAGTTACTTGTTCTCCTGGAACTGATATTCTAGCAGGGGGAGGGGGAGGGGAAGGGAGGGACGGTCAGCAAACAATAGGCCCAGAAAGTGCCAGATGCTGTGTGAAGGCCCACGGAGCAGGAAGGGGCCTGGGAGTGGAGGCTGCAATGTGAAATCGAGCAGTCAGGCCTCAGTGAGAAGGCAACTTGGATTGCAGACATACGGGGGGGAGGGGGAGAGCCAAGTGGATGGGGGAAGAGCATTCCAGAAAGAGAAAACAGGCAGTGGGGACGTGTGCCGGGTGAGTTCCAGAAGCAGCCAGAAGGCCAATGTGGAGTAAGTCAAGGTCAGAGAGAGACCTGGGCCAGGTCCTACAGGCTTGAGGCAATTTACTCTGTGAAACCATGGAGGACTTTGAGCTGAGGAGGGAAGTGGTCTGATTACGGTTTAACAGTGTTTTGTTTTTTTTTTTTTTTTAATGTATCATTTAAAAAAAGCTGGCACTTAAATATATGTCTCTGGCCAGCACACTGCCCCTCCCCAGATGGCCAGTCCCCCGTCTGCCCTCAGCTGCGTTGCTGTGGCTCCGTCCCCTCCCCACTGTGGTCCCCCATAGGTCCCATCCGTGTCTCCACCTGCCCGACTCACCTTGCTGACTCTTGAGGCCTTGTGGACACAGCGCTCACGGAGGCAGCGCAAGATGACATCGATGGCCTTGCTCACCTGCCTCTGGAACTGGGAGCTCGGCATCAGGTGGTCCTGTATGAAGCGGTCCAGCTCGGGGGCAGGGATCTGAGACAGATCTGAGACCATCTCCGGGGTAGCGGGGGCGATGCCGACCACTTTCGAGGGACCAGGAGCGGGGCATGAGGGCTGCCTGCTCCCTATCCTTGGGTGCACACCACTGAGACTCCCGCTGTCCGCAGGGGTCCTCTGGGCAGGGTCTCGCTGGATGGGGTGGTCCAAACCCGGGCATCCGGCACGTGGGAGGCCCTGGAAGTTTGTTGGAGGAGCTGTCTTACCCACGCACCGAGGTTGCTATGCCCCTTCTCTCACCAGCCCCCTCCCATTTGTACAGTCAGGGCGACTGAGGCTGAGAGGGGGAGTGGGAGGGCCACCGCTAGCCCATGTGGCGCCTTCGTGCAGATGAGAAAAAGGTGCCCTTGTAGAGGGGGTGAATTATAAGAAGGTCCCCCTGTGGCAGGCGGACACAGCTTGGTAAGCAGACACTAACTCCACGAAGACAAGGGCATTCCTTCCTCCAGGCAGGCCTGCCTTGGCGGTCAGATTGTTTACATGCCTGGTGCCCTCGCCTTCTCAACTCTGTCCACACCCCATGGCCCCTGGCACACAGTAGATGCTCAGGAAACACTGAGCACATAAATTAGGTGTCGAACCCAAGGATTTCGGGGAGCCCCTCACTCACTGGCCCCTCCCAGGGCTGCACAGGGTCCCCTGCCGCCTGAAGAAAGCACGGGTGGGCGTAGCTCGACTCTGCTTCTCGGGCCAGCCTATGCCAGTGCCAGGCTGCCCCGTTTCCCACATCCCACGTGGGGTCAGCGGGGTCCAGGATCACAGGCCTGCAAATACAGAGGGACAAGAAGGTTCTGGTTAGCAAGATGGTCAAGATCAAGATCAGAACCTGGTTCCAATCCCAACTCTGCTCCTTTCCAGCTGTGTGACCTGGGGCAGACAACTTCCCTTCTCTGAGCCTTAGATTCCTCATTTTCAAAATGGGGACAACAACCGTGCCTGCTCTGAGGGGCTGTTGTGGAGATTAAATTGCAGCAACGGTCTTCAACTCTGGCTGCACATTGGAATCATAGGATAGCAGGATCCCCCCGCCCCCCGCTCCCTGAAGACCCTGAGTTATTCCCAATGACTTAGCAATTCATCCCTAGATAGATATCCAACACATATGCATATGCACTGAAATACACATCCAAGACTATGTATAACAGCCCTACTTGTAATAGCCCCGGAGTGGAAACAACCCAAATGCCCACCATGAGCAGAATGGAAAACATACTGTCATAAATTCACACGATGGAACACTATTCAGCAATGAAAAAGAATGAACCACAACTGCACGCAACTTTATGAATGGATCTCAAAGACTTCATGTTGAGAGAGAGAACCAGACACAAAAGCACACGCTGTATGATGCCAGTGAGATGATTTTAAAAACAGAACTGTAATGATAACACTCAGAATGGGGTTACCTTTGGGAGGGGTGCAAGGGAGGCTCCCGGATTGCTAGAACATTCTACCTTGATCTGGTGGTGGTTTCACAGGTCTGTTCACTTTATACAAAGTCATCAAAATGTGCACTCTGGATGTGTATGTTACACGTCACTAAAACGTTCACGCACAAAACATGTAATATACTGAAACTCCCCAAGTGATTCTAATTTGCATCTTGCGCTGAACCCACTGAACTAGAAAGTGCACGTGCAGCGTTTGGCTTTGGCGCCCACGCAGGCCCTCAGTGGGTGTGAGCTGTTTTGTCAATGTTAATTATCTCCCCGAGGCCCGGGCACAGGAGGACGGGCGGGGTATTAGGAGGTACCTGGGTCTCTCAAGCTGGCGCCGCAAGAACTGCCTGACCGCCGGATCCTCGAAGCCGTAGTTGAGGGTCCAGAAAACGCACAGGTGCTGATGCTGTTGGATCAGGCCCAGGACGGTCCTGAGGCCTTGGGCCAGGCTGAAGGCCTCCTTCCCGCAGCCCTGCTCCCAGGCAAAGATAGTCAGCAGCTCCAGAGCGTAGGCGGGGGGCAGCGTCTCCCTCCTCACCTCCTGTGGGCACACCTGTGAGGGGGCAGGGCAGGGGCTCAGAGGATGGAGCCAGGGGAGAGCTAGATCTCTGTGGAACTTTGCTGGATCCCTCAGTCTCTGGGGCAAGGACCCCGCAGGCTGAGCCTGGGACGAGAGCCTGTGTTCCAAGGCTGTGCCAAGAGGAATCCGGTGTTTCTCATCTGCCCTCACTGCTGGGGCTTCAGCAAGGTAGTTGGCTCATATTCGGGGGGGAGGGAGCAGTATGAGAGTCAAGCCCCCAGGAGGGGGGAGCAGACAGACCTTGCCCAGTGACCTTGCCCAGGGTCACACAGCAAGTCGGTGGCTGAGCAAGAATCAGAATCCAGGGGCTCCTCATACCAGACCTGCTTTATGATGAGTGGTCCAAAAGAAGAACCAAGCCATGTGCCCTAAGATTTTGGGAAGCCTGTTCACTCCCCTCCAGGCACAGGCTGGGGACCCCTTCCCCGATACACAAGAGTCTATCAACAAGCATGAACAGTGCAGGGGGACATTCCTGAGGCTGGAGTGGGAGGTGTACAAACTCCACATCACTTCATACCATACATCAAATATTCCAGATAGTTTCAAAGCCCTAAATATGAAAAGGAAATCTTAAAACCTTTCGGAGGGAAACATGGGAGAATAATTTGAGAAAGTCAGGATAGGCAGACTTCTTAAATAAGACACATGAAGCACAAATCACATAAGAAGAAGATGAACACATCTGATTACATTAAAATTCAACCATTTCCTGTGACAAAAGACCTATACACAAAGTGAAAGTATAAGCCATAGACTGGGAGAATAGATTTGCATTATATTAACTAAATAAGAATTAGCACCCAGAATATATAAAGAGTGCCAACAAATCAACAAGAAGACAGCCAACCCAGTAGAAAATAATGGACAAATGATATCAACAGGCAATTCCCAGAAAGAGAAACACGAATGGCCACTAAACATAAGAAACTATTCTATCATGGAAGCAGAAATTCAAACAGTCATATGCCTGGAGCAACGACCCTCGCTAGAGGCCTCACCTGGCGGTACCAGTGCTTCACCAGCAGGATGAGGTTTTTCAGCTTGGCCGGGCGAGTGTTCACGAAGTTCCTCCGCAGCTCTGCGAAGCAGGCCGCGTGCTCGCCCCCCTGACAGCCGCTGTCGAGGAGGGTGGAGTAGACCTGGGGCCTGGGTTTGACATTGGAGCTGAGCTGTCCTGTGGGTGTGAAGTTCTGTGATCAGGAAGGGTGCTGAAGACACAGGATGGAGGGCAGTGCTGGTGCGGAGCTCAGCTTGGGGCACTGGGAGACAGTGGGGGGAATTTGCGGGGGATCCACCCGCATCGGGGTCGGAGGATGAGGAAGTGAGCCTGGAACTTCTCAGGAGGCAAGGAGGAAAGCTCTAGACCCTCCAGGGGTCGGGCTGAAGAAGAGCAGCCTCATTCCAAGATGGTTAAACAGGAACGGTGCTTCCAGCTGAGTCAGCAGTTCTAGAAGATGGCAATGCTTTCCTCCCTGAGGCTCCCTCAGGCAGTACTCAAGGACCACTGTACATCTCTTTAATTAATTAGTGCTGTGGGGGGAGGGCATGATGCCAGAGAAATATACGGCGAGAGGTTCTGATTCCTTAGCAGGGATTGCTAACATTTTTACTACATGCCAGGCACTGTGCTGCAAGTTTGACACGAATCCCCTCACTGTATCCCCACCAGAACCCTCTGAGGCAAGTACAGTCCTTCACCTCATTTTATAGCAGAGGAAACAGGCACAGAGGAATTCAGCGCTCTGCCCAATGTTTCACAGCTGGCAAGTGACGGAGACGGGATTGGAACTCAGAGCCGGCTGACTTACAGTATGTATCTTTTCCTCCACCACTTCCCATGGGCTTGGTTGGGAAAATAAACACTCTCCATAATTTTCTAGGTTCCTGACATCACTTACTTGCTGTGTGACTTTGGGCGAGTTACTGTACGTCTCTGTGCCTCTATTGGTAAAATGGAAGATAAAACAGTACTGACCTCATAGATTTGTTTTGAGGAGTTAATAAGATGAAACCTGTCATGTGCTTGGAATAGTTAAGCATTTAATAAGTAGTAGTTATTGCGATTAATATATGGGTACCCAGAGGGTGGGTATACCAGGTGTGGGAGAGTGAGGCTGTCTGTCAGGACATCATAACCCTGGACAAACTCAAGATAGCAATCTCCCAGAGCATCATGGTCCATAATAATAATGATTGAAAAAATAGTAATGAGAATAATAGAAATAAAAGCAAAGACTCATGTAGCCGTATCAGGTGCCAGGCTCTGTTCCAAGTTCATTACATGTATATATGCACACTGCCTTTCCAACAACTCTGTAAGACAGATTACTATCATCCCATTATTATTAGCCTCATTTTACAGATGTGGACTTGGGGCATATTATTAAGCGAAATCAAGCATGGGTGCATTATGAAGGAGAATGCAAAAATCACATCAGTGCTTTTAAGGTAAAATACAAGGTCACACAGCAGGTTGGTGGAGGACAAGAAACGGAAGCCCTGTCTTGCTCCTAATGATCTTGCCCCCAACCCTGGAATGGGCCAGGCGCCCCTCACCGAGGGCATCAAAGGCAGGCACCACACTAACGTCCATCCAGTTTTCGAGGTCTGTGGATGCCAGTCGGAACTGGAGGATCCCGGGCGTGTTTTGCTTAGGAAACTCAAGGCTCAGACCGGGCACCGGGTCCTGCCACCTGGATTCCAGCAGTGCCCGCATCTCCTTGAGGATCTCTGAACGCTGAGCGCCCTGGTCCTCATAGCTCTTGAAGCAGTCGAGGAAGATGACAAGTTCAGAATCACAGCCACCCCTCAGAGCCGTGCCCCGGCCTGAGGAGCCTCCCTACGAAGAAAGAAAGAACTCAGAATTCCGCACTCTCCAATTCTAGTGCCCACACAGGCTGGCAGGCAACTTGGGTGAGGCAAGTGGGCTGGGTGGAGACTGTGGCCACCCAGCTCCCGGCATTTGATGCCATGCAGGAATGAGGGCCCAGGGCAGCCAGGTCTGAGTTTTCAAGAAAAGCAATTTTTATATGTAAATCCATGATTTCTAAATGTTGGCAACTAACATTAAAAAAAATTAAAACTGCAGGTGAAACAAATTCTGGTTTGCAGAACATATGTTCACGACTTTTGCCCAGGATCAATACAAAACTGTGATATGATTCACTGAATTTCTGAGACCTGTCTGACCAGTGTCTCTTTCTGTAAAGCTGCCAGCTGGACGATTTGAGAAGGAAACTCACATTATCGGAGTCTCTGCTCTGTGCTTGATGCCCTGTCAAATATCTGACACATATAATCTCGATTACAACAGGGAAGAACCTGATGTGGTTACACACAGTTACAGACGTGGGTGAGGCTCAGAGAGGAAAGTGAGTAACACAGCCAGGAAGAGGCAAGAACCAGGACTGGTTCCTCACTTTACAAACCAGGAAACGAAAGTGCAGGGAAGTTCCACCTGCTCGCGATCCCCCAGCCAGGAAAGGCAGGGTGGTGATTTGACCCCAGGAAGTCAGACTCCAAATCCACATTCTTTTTTTTCTCCATAAATTAATTCACTTAAAAACACTTTTTATTATGAAAGTTTCCAAACCTACACAAAAGAAGAGAGGATTTTGTAGAAGTCTTTGCCACATTTGCTCGACGTCTTTTTCCTGTTTATGTGATTCCAAAAGAAACTCCAGCCAATGTGTCATTTCGCCCCACACACTTTCATGGGCAGCTCTAAAATGGTGATTCCCAGTGTGGGTGACTGTGTCCCCGGAGGACATTTGGCAATGTCTGGAGACATTTTTGGTGGTCACAACCGGGGCAGGGGAGCCCCTTCATGTTGGCCCTGGGGGGATGTCCTTCTGATGTGACTTCAGAGGTCTGTGACCCCTTCTTTGCTTTTTGGTCCAACCAGAAGCCCCAGGCTCATCTTGTACATCTCGCTCCAGCCCTGAAACCAGCCATTCCTCCAAGGAGCCCTTTTAGCAGGGAATGGCATCTCAAGACTGGAAAAGAAGCCCACAGCCCTACTCACTTCACCACTGCCTCCTTCAAGGCCTCGAATAATCGGAAGGCCATAGCTAAATTCAAGCACGAGAGCTGTTCCAGGTTCTCCTGGAAGCTAAGGATGCCAGCTTTAGAGATCCTTAAACTCTTGCTAGGCAGAAATTCCTCCTGTCCACCTCAAAGGCAGAAATCTGCCTCCACATCTCCTAGGCTGCAAGTCTCTCCTCCTCCTTTTCCACCTCCCAAGCTAAGACTCAGCCCTAGGAAACCACTAGCTGCTCTGAGGCCATCTCCAGCTCCATCCTCCCAGGCCCCCTCATCCACCTGGCCCCCCTGGGTTTACCCTGAATAGGGTAGCTGACACTTGTCTCCTCTCTGGTCTGTGGGCATCCTGAGGTCACGGGACAGTGTGGCATTTAAGTGACAAAAAGTGGCCTGGGGCAGTGGCTTCACCACGCCCAATCTCAGTTTACCCATCCATAAAACGGGAACAAGAATCCCACCTCACTGAATGTGAAGACTGACTCATTTAATGAGACAGTGTTCCTTGTTATTTGGTAATTTCTCAGTACATGTGGCTGTTATTATAAAGTATCATTATTTCTGCATCCTTAGGGCCAGGCATAGTGTGAGGCCCTTGAAGAGCATAGATGCAAGAATCAGATTCCCTGGCTTCGAATCCTGGCTGGACCTCTTACAGGCTGACACGTTACTTTGTCTCTCTGTGCCTCAGTTTCCCCATCTGTCAAGTGGGAGTTAACAGTACCTGCCTCCCCGGGCTGTTGTGAGCAGTATGTTGGTGCTGTCGCATAGGAAGTGTGCTATGTAAGTGTTAAAGAAATGAATGAAAAGAGCTGATAAAACCCCTCCCCGTCCCCCACCCCCGACCTCGATGGGCCCGCGTCCTGCGTCCTCCGAGAATTGTCCCTATTTACAAATGAAGCCCCTGAGGTCGGCCCCACCCAGGCGGCTCACCTTGACGATCTTCAGCACCCTCCAGGGCTGGGCAGCCCCGCCGGGGCGGCCCCCGCGCTCTCTCAGGGCGGCGCCCAGGGCGCCCAGGGCGCGCCGCGCGGCCCCCACGAACTCCGCGGGGGGCTGCAGGCTGCGGGCCACCAGGCTGTCCAGCGCCGCGGCGGGGGTGCGGTACACGTCCATGGTCCGGGAGGACGGGCTCCGCGTGCCGGCCGTGGGCTCCGATGCCCTCGCGCGCCTCTGGGGTTGCGTCCCGGCTCTGCGCGGTCCCCAGGTGCCCGCAGCGCCCGGTCTTAAGTCGTGCGCCCGGCGTGGGGAGAGGGAAGGACGCTGCTGACCCGCCTCCCGCAGCCTCCCCACCTCCTCCCCCGCATCGCAGAGAATCGCCTCCTTCCCCGCTGTCAGTTTCAGTTTCGTTTCTTTCCCGCAGCTCCGGGCCGGCGCACCCACTTCCTGGTTCCCTTTCCACTCGCAGCGCCCTCTCCTGGGCCTCCCCGCGCCCAGCACCAGGTCTGCCTTTCCTGCAGCTCCCAGCAAGGATGAACTCAACGCAACCGAACAGAACGCCTCCACAGCAGCGGGTCCACAGAACACGAGCACGGGCGCCGACTAATCTACCTTGAGCATTTAAGAAATGTGCAGGATTTACATGAAAAAATGGTCAGAGCTTGAATTGAGCGGCCTGGAGGACATTTACATAAACAAGTAGCTCCTGCCTTGCTCTCTGGCTGAAGGATGCCTTCTAAACACCAACAATCATAAGGAACTCGTGCAGAATGCTTGTCCTGTGCTGCCTTACCCACATCTCATGTCATCCGCCCAACAACCGCCAGTACATGCTGTTATTGTCAGACCCATTTGATACATGAGGAAGTTAGGATACAGAGAATCTAGGCATCTTGTCAAAAGGCACGTAGCTGGAAAGTTGTCAGACTGGATTCAAACCCAGTGCAAGCTCTCACTGCTGCACTCTATTCTTTTTGGAAAAAAATTTATTTTGTTGAAGTCATATTGGCTTATAACATTGTGTAACTTCAGGTGTACATTATTATATCAGTGTCTGTATAGATTGCATAGTGCTCACCCCCAATAGTCGTGTTTATCTGTCACCATATACATGTGCCCCTTTGCCCCTTTCGCCCTCCCTCCACCTCCTTCCCCTCTGGTAAACACCACCTAAAGCGATCTATAGATTCAATGCAATCCCAATCAGAACCCCATTGACATTCTTCACGGAAAGAGAACCAAGAATCCTAAAATTTATATGGAACAACAAAAGACCCCAAATAGCCAAAGCAATCCTGAGAAAAAAAGAACAAATTGGGGGGTATCACACTCCCTGAATTAAAAATATACTACAAAGCTATAGTAATCACAACAGCCCCATACTGGCAGAAAAACAGACACACAGATCAATGGAACAGAATTGAGAGCCCAGAAATAAAATTGCACTCTATTCTTACAGGAGCCAATTCTTCCTAATAATTCACACATTTAGTGCAATTCTCATAAAAATTCCTTTGTGTGTGTGTGTGTGTGTGTGTGTGTGTCTTGGTCTAGGGTAGTGACAAGTGGTTAATTTTGGGTTTATTTTTCCTTCTTTTTTACATTAAATTTTTAAAAATTGAATTCTTTTCTCCCCCTAGCTTTATTGAGATATAATTGACACACAAACCCCTGTGTGAGTTTAAGGTGTCCATTGTGTTGATTCGATACATTTATATCTTGCAATATGATTACCACTGTAGCATTAGCTAAGGCCTCCATCCCATCACAGTTACCATTTCTTTTTTGTGGTGAGAACATTTAAGATCTACTCTGTTAGCAACTTTCAAGTGTATAATACTGTATTGTTAACTATAATCAGACTCTGTACCTTAGATCCCCAGAACTTATTCATCTTATAGCTGGGAGTTTGTACCCTTTGACGAATGCCTCCCCATTTCCCCCCAACCCCCAGCCCCTGGTAACCACCATTTTACTCTCTGTTTCTATGAATCCGGCTTTGTTCGATTCCACATATAAGTGAAATCATACAGTATTTGTCTCTCTCTATCTGACTTATCTCACTTAGCATAATGCCCTAGAGGTCCATCCATGTTCTCACAAGTGGCAGGATTCCCTTCTTTCTCATGACTGAATAATATTCCATTGTATGTATGTACCACTTCTTCTTTATCCATTCATCCACTGACACTTAGGTTGTTTCCATATCTTGGCTACTGTGACTAATGCTGCAATGAACATAGGGGTACAGATAACTCTTTGAGAACCTATTTTCATTTCCTTTGGATAAATACCCAGAAGTGGGATTGCTGGATCATATAGTAACTCTATTTTTAATTTCTTGAGGAAGCGTCATACTGTTCCCCAGAGTGGCTGCACCAGTTCCCACCAAGAGTAGACAACGATTGTTCCCTTTTCTCCACATCCTTGCCAGCACTTGCTATTTCTTGACTTTTCGATAATACCCGTTCTGATGGGTGGTGGGAGGTGATATCTCGTTGTGGTTTGCATTTCCCTGATGATTAGTGATGTTGAGCATCTTTTCATGTGCCTATTGGCCATCTGTATATCTTCATTGGAAAAATGTCTGTCCAAGTCCTCTGTCCACTTTCTAATCGGGTTGTTTGGGGTTTTTAGCTATTGAGTTGTATGAATTCTTTATACATTTTGGATATGAGACGTTTATGAGACACATGATTTGCAAATCTTTTCTCTCATCCTGTAGGTTGCCTTTTTACTTGGTGGATTGTTTCTTTTACTGTGCAGAAGATTTTTAGTTTGATGTGGTTCCCTTTGTTAATTTTTGCTTTTGTTGTTTGTGCTTTTGGTGTCATATCCAAAAAATCATCGCCAAGACCAATGTCAAGGAGCTTTTGCCCTATGTTTTCTTCTAGGAGTTGTTCAGTTTCAGGTCTTATGTTTAAGTATTTAATCCATTTAGAGTTAATTTTTGTGAGTGGCATGAGACAGGGGTCCAATTTCATTATTTTGCAGGTGGTTGTCCAGTTCTCCCCACACCATTGATTGAAGAGACTGTCCGTTGAGTATGTGAGCTTCCTTGTCAAATATTAATTGACTGTATATATATACATTTTTTTTTTTTTGGTGAGGAAGATTGGCCCTGAGCTAACATCCATTGCCAATCTTCCTCATTTTGCTGAGGGAGATCAGCCCTGAGCTAACATCTGTGCCCATATTCCGCTATTTTGTATATGGGATGCCGCCACAGCATGGCTTGATGAGTGGTATGTAGGTCCATACCCGGGTTCCAAACTTGTAAACCCTGGGCCACCGAAGTGGAGCACGTGAACCTAACCACTATGCTACCAGGCCAGCCCCCGGTATAAAAATTCCATTTTTTAAAACTTCAAACATATTATTCCTAAGCCTGTATATAAGAATTAAGAATTTTTTTTAAAAGATAGAAATGAGAAAGGAAAAGGAGTTTAGAATGGCACCTCTCACACCATATTCCATATTAAAACATTATAGAGCTACAAGAGTTAAATCCTTTTGGGACTGGTACAAAGCTGGGCAGATCGTAAGCTGCAGAGTGGAAACTTCAATCTACATGGTAGTCCGTTGCCTCTCCCTGTTCTGCTTCTTCCCTGTTGCTCCTCCAAGTGACCAGAATCTGCAGACCTGAGCTCTTTCCCAGGCCTGGCCCATGTCAGAGTCCATCCACTCCTCCCCATCTTCCTCAAAAACTCATTAGCCCTTTGTTCCATCAGCTCAGGGATCCAATATTTACTCTGCTTCTGAGTATATTGCAGGTAACAATTCATCTTAACAAGAGCTTCCTGAAGTCTGCCTCAACCGGAAGCAAATAGATGAGGTCAGAGGGTGAATTTCAGAGGTCATGGTGAACTAGAGGGAGAGATGGTGGATGCCGGTGTGTACACCCAGTTTATATTTTGAGTAGTGAGTGCCACATCACTGCGGGTATTCAAGCATAAGAAGACTATTTTGGAGGTTGGATGTTGTGGAGGGGATTCAAGCCAGGTGCCTTCAGCCATAAAGCCATGGTTTTCGTGCTTACGCATTAACCACAGTCACCTTCCTGATCCACAGGTCACTTTAGAAATTTTCCATTTGAGATGGTGGACTGAACATACACTCAAGATCCTACTGAAATGATGGCAAAGGTACATTAAAAGTATCGTGCAACTCAACAGATTGGAAATTGAGAAAGAGAGCCATCAAGGGACCAGACATTTGAAGAATTTTTAGAAGGTAGAAAACAGAAGGGTCAAGATTGGATCAAGATGGTGACTGAGCATATGCACAAGCCTTCCACTCCCCGTTAGACCTCCAGGGATAACAGGAAAGAGATGAAAAAATTCATCATTGCTGCTGGATCCTAAGTAGAGGTGCCTTTGGTGAACTGGAGACTTCTGAACCCCATGAAAGAGATACGGGATTGGATGAAGGAGGAAATTACAGCCCGACACACAGGAAGAAGAGGATAGCTATGCAGGGTGGGAAGGGCTCTGGAGCTCCAGGGAAGGGTCCTGGCATCTCACAGACAAAAGTGAGGGGTGTGCAGGGAGGAGATTTGTGTGAGGAGGATGGGGAGGGGGTATCTGGGAAAGCTCACCCAGGGCTTCAAAGGTGGCAGTATGCTAAAACTCACACTCTCGCTCAGCTGGGGGGACCTCGGCACGAAGCTGAGCACCCTGGGGTTCCCCTATGATCCCTGAACCCCAAACTTTGCATCACACATTTCCTCTCTTTGTTAGGCTTGTGGCTGTGTTCTGATCTCTTCTGTGAACTCTACCCTCATCTCTGTTGGCTATGCATGAGCTCTGCCAAGTTTCGTTTCCTCAGCAGGAAGTTGCCAGGAATGGGGTGTTACCTCCGGGGACTCCAAAATTTATGACTCAGGTGCTTCAGTTTTCATATGGCAATTTCTATCATCCCTTACACACTTGCTTCTCTTTCCAAATCTCATGAAATTGTCCTTGAACCAGCAGCTCCAAATACCAGCACCCCAGATCTTTCCATAACCTGGGTCTGCCGGCTTTGCATAAACTATCAAAGCTTGGCTGACAGAAATATTTATCAAAAACTTTTTTTGCAAGAAAAATTGCTTTATTGTTTCTTGTGGTCATGTAAGTAATACAAGTTTACTGCAAAAAATTAATGAAATCAGAAAATTCAGAAAAATCGAAAGAACACTCATAATGGTATAATCACGTATACTCCCTGAAAATATTTAGGTCTTCCAGGAACCAATCATTACAAAATGAGACTAAAGAAAACATAC